TGATTAGCGCAAAAATTACTGGGCTGATTTAAAAATTCTTCCGCCATTAGAAAGGTAATTTATCTGTGAGTAACAACTAGTAAGCTACATAATAGAGTCAAAAAACCATAATTGACATAATTTCATTGGAAAGATAAGTTATTAGTTTAATATACTTTCAACAAATACTACATTTCTTTTATTTCAATCTCTTTTTAGAAACTCAACAGTCATGCGGGCAAAATGGATTATTGCCAAGCGAAGTAATCAGTAACAAACAGTTATGTCTGTTATTTATTATTTTAACATCTAGGACAATTCTATCACGTACTGTATACTTGTGATTACTCATTTTATCAGACTGACTTAGAACGTTAGTCTTTAATGTATGTATAATTAAAATTTAATTATACTAGGTGCGTTACGTCCGCCTAATCTGCACAGCGCTGCACACATTTTATAACTTTGTCAATGTCGATACCAATACTTTTAAATTTTCGTGCTAGACAACTGATTCGTATGTTTGTAAGTTCTATTGAGATAGTCTGACTATAAAATAATCGTGAATAAGAAATATACGAGAAAATACGCTTCAAAAGAATAGTATTCGCGAAAATCTCAGGCGTTATCAAATATTCTTATCTTGTATTTTCTTGAAGCACTTCACTGATTGCAAACAAGGTTACTTTTATATGAAAACTTTATATTGACTTTCACACAGAAAACGTGTAATTTTCTACGTTCAATTTTTAAATGAAGACTGGTTTACTTTTTTGATTAAAATGATAACGCCTGATGACCTCATCTAACACCTATAACCAGAAATAATTATATTTTTAATAGCTTAATGAGTATGAAAGTTTTTATACATAGATAGATTTATAGAATTATCTGCGAAAGGATATTTAAAAACGTTAATGTACTCAGTTGCAGAGACTCAATCTGAGTTTAAATCAATTTCCATTTAAAGTAACTTTTTAAAGAATTTAGTAGATGCATCTATGTTTATTCCAAAAAAAAATAACATACAGATGATTTGAGTTCCTCCTTCTTTTGGAAAGTCGGTCAAAAATAGACAATAAAAAGGGCTTTATTCTTATAATAATAACAATAAGTACTAAGTACTTTAATAATACTGTAACAATTTGAGGTATAAGTAAAAAAGTTAGAAGTAAATATCGTTTGGCAATTTTCTAAGCAATTTTATGTAATACGCGTCTGACGTAACTCAGTGGACGTCTCTATGGAAATTAGATATGACTACGCAAATAGACTTAGGATTACTGTAACAGTTTGCTGTCTACGTCGACTAATATTTGTAAATTTGAGTGGGTTGGTGGGACAACCTTCTGCTAAAGATTTATTTTTAATAAATTTACTAACTATTATTATGAAAATAGCGATCTTATCGACAATCTCAATAAAAGCAAAAAACTTTTCTCACTAACTATAATGAATGGTAAAAGTTGAGAAATAAAGGGAAATTATTAATCACTCGTATTTCCCTGTGGCATATAATCACATCTTTACTTTTGGATAAACAACTTTTGTGATATTTAATTCTTTTTAATTATATAATCAACAAATAACAAACCAAACTGAAATTAATACTGGTATAATTAATTAAGTAAAGGTAAAAATTCTTTTTTTATATAATATATGGTGGTAAACGAACAAGCGGCCACCTGAATCCACCGAAATGAAAAGCGACCGCTATCCATAAAAATCCGCAATTGCAGATGCTTTACCTACCCTTAATTGACGGTGGAGGAGACGCACGTAAAGAGGACATTTCCCCTTCCTATGCGTCTCCTCTACCGTTAAATCCACTTTTCCTTCAGATCCTTCCTTCTTAAGAAAATGGTTGAAAGGGAAAGGGACTAAAATTAGGCCTTCGGCACCGCACTCATCAGACGAAGCGCGGAATTGCTTCCACTTCACGCCTGTTTTCTGTGTGGTCGTGGTATTGCACCGAGTGAGCCAGCCCATTCATGCGAAGATGTTAAAGCGGGCTCTACCACTGTAAAAAAAATCTTCTAATATTCAACAACTAAATTACATGCTGCATCAATTTTTGAAAAAGCTTATAGATAAGTTCAAGCATATTCCCAGTCGAGTTTTAATACTTTGAATATTACTCGCAGATAAATATGAGAGAAGAGAGAATTATTTTTATCGGGATTGATATCTCCGGAGCAATAAATCGGGAGCGCGCTTCCCGACATACTGCTTCAATTTCGATATCCATTCGAGATCTCAAATAGCGTTTTTAATGTATTATTCCTCCTTTAAATCACACAAGTTTCGATCTTAATTGACTGGTTTATTAGACATGCAATCAAAATATTTTTCAGAATTTATTGTCTTGGCGATAATAACAATTAAAATGTTTTGAAATAGTTATCATAATGCAATAGGAGTTCTTTTTTTAGACAAATTCTAGGAATCTTCTGGCCAGAAACGATACGCAACGAAGAACTTCTGACACGTTGTAGAGAGCAGCCGATCGGCCAGCAGATAAAACGACGCAAGTGGTTATGGATTGGCCATACGCTTCGCCGGGAACCCAGCCACATTCCCAGGGAGGCCCTGGAGTGGATCCCACAAGGAACACGAAAGCGTGGCCGCCCTAAACAAACCTGGCGGCGTTCAGTGGCGGCCGACTTGAAGGTAATCGGGCTGTCATGGTCCGAGATACAACGCAGAGCCCAAGACAGAGCGAGCTGGCGGCGTACTGTGGACGCCCTCTGCCCCACTTCGGGGACATAGGAATAGAAGAGAAGAGAGAATAGGAGTTCTTAGTTAATATAGTTAACTGACGTTGTCAATTTTAGCTTTATTTTTCAGAGAAGAAACAATTTTTAGTCATGCCGGCTGAATTTTTTTTAATATAATATCTTCATGAACACACCGTAATACACATAAAATATAATCATTCGTTTTAATACAACGGAATCATTTTCGATTCCATTACGGTTTAAATGACTTGTGTAAAATGCGATGGGCGTCACTTTTTAGGCGCTAAGAGTCAACTGAGCTTAAGAGCTTAAAAGCTTTATAATGGCACGACACTCTCATATAAATATTACGTGTAAATTTCAAAATGTTATTTAAACGCTCCATCACAGATGCTTTTTAATCAAAACTATCTTGATCTTGACTAGAAACAACGTTTTTAGAAAGTCCTGCGAAATATATTCTGTCTATTAAACTGGCAGCCCTTATACCCTCATAAAGCCATTACCCTAACCAGAGGGACCCTCAGCCGTGACCCTTGAATGTATTGAAGTAGCGTATGAATAGGAGCCTTACTTTTTACCTAGCTAACTTCTTGATATAAATCATTTAATGAAGGCCTAGTCTTTGAAAAGGTAAAACCTATTGGTTAGTGCTGCTTAATTTTTTAGTTAGTTAATCCTTATTTTTGTTTTCAACTTAACCTTTTTGAACTTTATTTTTTTATTAATAATTAATTCTGTTATCATAAAAAGAGCTTTAAAAATTTAATACATCTTCATAAGTCGATGTTTGAATGAGACACTCAGTTATTTCTATGAAGGTTCAAGTTTCGTGGGAATTTATTAGTCTGTCACATAAAACTGTGTTTTCGAGTGAGTCATAAAATTTTACTGGTTGATAAAATTAAAACGAACCGACCGTTCATAAAACAATTTTCTGTTTAAATCTAAGATTTAATCTTTTTATGATTGAAGTATTATTAAATGATACATAAAAATATACACATATAACTAGAAATTTACAAAGTGAAAATTAATCCGCCAAATTGGTTTCAGAGAAAATTATGAAAAATGTAAACTTTGAAAATTTAGCTGAATTTTATTTTTTTATTGTGTTAAATAATAAATATTTCGTCTTCGTTCCATTCCCTCGTTCATTTTCTTTTGACACGCATTAACATCGTTACATTCTAAAGCCTTAAAGCCCTTGAGCTTTCATTCCGGCGCTTGTGTAGTAATATATACTGTATTTTACTCGTCGTAATGAAAGCGTAAAAGATATTAAATAATGTTATCTTTTTTATTTTTTAAAAGCCACAATATTCTATATTTCTTATTTCAGTCATGTCTATTACTTATGACTACTGTTATCTACCTTTTGTTACTTCCTTTTAAGACGGGAAAACCAATAAAACACAGGATAAACCTTAATTAGGAGTTAATCTAACACGCTTTATATGTCCACCAAGCCTGCCCCCTCTAAACTTTGCTACAACTACAACTACAGAGTGTTCTAGAATTCCCATGGCATTTGGTATTAACGTGGACTTTAGAAAGAGAAAGAAGACTTCTGACTTATTCTGTGGGAAAAATAATTTTAGTTTACATTAGTTAAAATATAAATCGTTAATGTTTGAAGATTTACGTTAAATGAAGAAGTTTGTAATACGCAACATATTTATTTACATTGTACAATATGCTTAAGTAATGAAATTCATTTACACATTTAGCACATTATAGGTACGTAGAACGCGAACTACCGTCACATAAACTTAAACTAACTATCCGCAAGCAAGTCTTAACAAAGTTGTGCGATTAATTTGAACCGCTCGCTTCAGAGTTTCCCTCCATTCTGCTCGTATTGTTAAACATGACTAGCTAAGCGAGAGGATAATGTAATTTTATTTATTAAAGTTTTGAACTACAAACTTACTCGATTCAAACCTACAATGGAACCCGAAAGTAACGTAACTTGAATTTGTGGCGCAGCGAACGTGTATAATTGTAAAACAAGGTTATCTTCAAGACGTATTTAGTGAATTTAACATTTTAATAAGGTTTAACTTTTCTACTTTATACGAAACTTGAATATTTACTCAAGTCAAGTATCGATCCTGGTGCTTCTTAAAACGAGAAAACAATAAATGATCAAGTAATTGCCGTAATAACTTGTGTTGTGGTTCACTTGACCTCGGGTGGAATTACACTTGTAGTAATTGTGTAATATTTTTTTAATTAAATACAGATAGAATAAAAACAAAACAATTTTCTTTCTCTTTTATTAATAATAAAAACAAAAATATACAATCTTATTAAACTCTTAATAGCAATTTCTCATTTTTACTTGTTCTGTATATCATCAATAGATTTATTTTTAACTTTTAATTGTAAATCAATAACTACCGTTTTCTTGAACAAATCCATTAAATCATTCCTCGTGTAAGATTTTATTTGTTGCAATCTCCCGCCTCCAGCACCACTTATTAACCTGGCTATTCTATCTGAAGGACATTCAACAACAACTGAACAGACAACTTTTTCCTCATCTTCTAGTTCGTCGTAGTATTCCAAACATGTTTTCAAATTGTAAGGTATTTCTTGTGGTAGGAAATCTAAAAATTTCGCCCGAACTGTTTCCTCGATTAGTGCTTCCGGAGTTTGATCTGTCCAATAGTCCGGAGAATATTGCAAGTTCATAACTTTTGCATTAGATACAAGATATTCCTGAAATATTAATGAATTGCATAAAAAAAAAATTTAAAAAGCATATTACTAGTTTTGGCACGCGAATTTAAAAACAAAAAGTAGCCTTTGTGTTCCTCTTGTCTATCCTCTAAATCTATGCCAAATTTCCTTCCGCAGTTTAGGCTACAATCTCTAAAAAATATTCATCTATCTAAACTTTCGCATTTATAAATCAGTAAGAAGTAGAATTACTTTTGTTTCAAGTTGACTTTATTTCCTTGAGAAAATTAATAATAAAAAATAAATAAATAAAAAGTAACCTTAATAGCTCCTACACCATCCCCTGTTAATGCAGAAACTAGAAACACATCAGAGAAATGACTGTAACCCTTTTGTAATTTACTTTTAGTTGACTGAGTCCTATCAGGATTTGGCATAGTTCTTCCTGCGATTACTCCATTTGTTAGATTTCGAATTGTTGCCAACAGTTGCTTTTTAGATTTTAATTGATCTACCTAAAAAAAATATATAACATTGCATTAGAAAATTATTAACCTCCATGCAAAGGTGCTTTTAAATGCACATTAAAAATAACAAATGCATTTCCACATATCTATTTATATGGCATCAGTTTTAATACAAGACTTATTATTGTAAAGTATAGTATTTCATTTTGAGTGCTTACAAGAAATCACAATTGAAAAAGATAGAAGCGAGGGGTTTAAAAAGACAAATATCAAGCAAAAAAGAATGCTTGTGTAAACAAAATCTTACTATAATAAACAGAAACAATTATATTGTTATTATATGCCTAAAGTATAATTAAGAATGTATACTAACTTTATTTAGTATCAAAAAGCTTGGTATTTTACCAATTGAATTTAACATGCTTATGACATCTTGATGAATGCTGTCCCTTGACCATTTGTTGGACACATCATGTACTACACCAACAACATTAGCACATCGTAAACTTTTTTCACATGCACCTAGCATTGCTACGGGTAATTTGTACCTTAAAATAGAATTTAAATCAAAACATTAAATATATTTACTGATATAATTTTTACTTTAGGACACAAATTTGTTAATATGTAACATTTAATAATTTAACTGAGTGTGGCAATCAATTTCTTAGTAATATAAATGCAAAAGTTTTCATGATAGATATTTGTTATCCAGTAACTCCAGAACAGCTTCATGGATCTATATCAAATAGGTGTAGATGTAGAATATAGTCTATTAGAATGCATAGACAACAAAATATTTTTTAATTTAATGCAGATGAAGATTCAGGCACCAATTACTCTTTGTTATTGTAGTATATGAATATAAAAAATGTTTTCTTTTTATTTTAACTTACTTCTTTTGTTCCTTGTCACTTACAACACCGGGAGTATCCAAAAAAATAATTTGTGTATCTTTTTCATAACACATAGCTCTGGCTAACTTTGTTGTAGTATGTACTTTATTAGAGGCAGCACAAATCTGTAAGATCGACATATTTACTAAACGAGAGCAACCTGAAGTTAACAGTACGCTAGAGTATACATTTAGTAGATTACAAATTATATGTTTCATTTTTTCAAAAGTATATAACTACAGAAACCCTTATACACACCTTACGTTCCATAATCTTATTAATTAATGTACTCTTGCCTGAATTAGGGGCTCCAATTATAGCTACGTTTACTACCTTACCGGTAACTTTGTTTGCAGGTTGTTCTATCTGGGTAGAAAAGTATAAACAACGTATATATTTTATACAACTATAGGTGCTGCGCATTGAAAGCATAATTGAAGTAGACATGATAATGTTTCGGTATTATAGCGGTGACAAATTTTTAATAATATTGGTCCAATAAACATTAGGATATTTTTAGATTTCTGAAAAGGGGAGTCAAGTCAAGACTGACGTTTGACATTGACATGAAAATGTCACGAAGTCTCCAAATCTATGGTAGTCAAATAAAACAATATGCATCTGACCTAACAGACTACTATAAACTAGTGAAAAGTATTTATTTAGAGATTTTATCACACATATTTATTTTAACTAATAATTTAAGGATCATATTAACTTGTTTGAAAGCTCTATTTGTGTAAAGTTATGTTTTGGCTTTTATTACTTATGTTATTAACTTTTAGCCAAGTTCATATATGTTTTATCTAACACTCAAAACAAAACTTGTGGTAATTAGGATTTTTATGTCTTTTATGTACTATAACGGAATAGCAATTTATAAACTTAGGTAAAAATTTTCATCTTATTCTTGTCTTCTATACTGTAAAGAAGAAAGATTTGTATTTTTGTATGTATTGAAATGACAAAAACTACTTGAGCGATTTCATAAAATCTTTCATCAATAAATGGCTACGTTATCACTTAGTAACATAGGGTATTTTATTATTGTTTTATTAATTCCACTCGGACGAAATCGCAAGCAAAAGCTAGTTTTTAACTAGAATATTTAAAAAGTATTGGCAACTTCTGCAATCATAACAAGAATTTGGTCCTTTGGTGCCTCTGCTTTCTTCTATATTCTATAACTTGACTATGTATACTTAACTATACACTACATTTTTAAGTACTTGTTGTTATAATTGTTAACTTATCTAATTTTTGTTAATATTAATACTAATTACCCCGTTAAATTCATTATTTTATAAAAAGCGTTGAATATAAAAAAAAATCTTTTGTACCGTACCTTAATGTATTAAAGTTATTTTTGCCGCAAAAATATCTTAGAGGGATAGTTAAATCCAGCGGCATGATTTTATTCAGGTGAGTTAATACATTAATCTGTTAGTTAATTTTTATGCGTTTTGTTCACAAATTATTTTATTTCCAGAAATGTCAGAGATAAAGTATAAAAATCAAATTTTGGCAGCAATAGATCACTTGCGATCGCGAAAATCTCGCCCAGATATAAACAGAATTTGCAAGTTTATGCTGAAGTGTTATAAAGTAGGACCTAAAGACACAAAAGCTGACCTTAAACGTTGTTTAAAGGAAAGAAGCATATTTAAAGTCGATTATAAAGATAATGTAAGCTATAGAAACGCAGCTAAGTGGCGAAAGAAATCAACACAAAGTAATAGTAAGTTGAAATATATTTATTGTAAATAAACTTTCCTTTATTTTTTAGTAATTATTTATTTTCTCAATTAGCAATGGCTTCTGAAATTGATGAGAGAAAAATTATTTCATCTGCAATTGCGACATTAATATACCGTGATCAAAGTTATTTGGAAAATGGGATTGCTTTTGATGATCTAATACGCGAAGCGGCATTCTTATCAAGATACACGAAAAAACAACTTGAAACAATTGTCAACAAGGAACTGTCTTCGGGCAGTCTAGTGAAGTTGCCTAATGGTACATTAGCTTTAGGCCCTGCAGGAGATCCTGATGGCGATAGTTCTGACAGTTTTAAATTTGAATACAATGATTCAAATACAAAGGTAAGTGCCTTTTTAGTGTTGTTCTGACACCAAAATTAGAGGAGAAATATTTTTATATGTAATCTATTTTGACTTCTACTAAACACTTAAAGTATTTCATAGCACTGAATGAATCATTATAAAACCAAAAGAACATGAAATTCAGGACATTACCTTATTTTAATAAAATTAGTATATTGCAGTTGACATCATCAGCTAATTCATCATGTAGATCATCTCCACAACGAATGCGAGGAAGGCCAAAAAAAAATTCTAATGTAGCATCTAGTAATAGCCAAAATAATATAAGCAACCAAAATTCCGGAGTTAGAGTTGGTGAGAGACGTAAAATGGCAAAGAAGGTATTCGATCCATCAGACAATAATGTGCCAAGCAAACGCAAGAGGGGAAGGCCTGTGGGATCTCTTAATAAGAGCACTATAAAAAAAAGAATGATGATAGCTAGTCATCAGAAGAATGAGAAAGAAGGAACACCTTTATCAGAAAGTCAACACTCTTTAGATGGAAGTGGAGAAGATATGGAATCGGAGGAGCCTATTTCTCATGAAGCATCTGGAGGTGTTTGCTCCGTGTGCCACATCCAGAAACCTCGAGGGTCTAATGACAGGATAGTTGAGTGTCGCGATTGCAACAATAAAGCTCATCTGAGTTGTCTTCAGACTGGTTCTGGTATCTTAAAACCAAGACCCGATAACACTTGGCAATGTCCACATTGTAAAACATGTGTTGTGTGCTATGAGACAAATGATGCTGTAAGTTTTACAAAGTTAAATTTATTTCTTAATGAACTTAGTTTTATTTTCATTAATATCAATTGATTTAATAATTAGAATGTGTTTAGAATTATTGGAATTATATGGAAATCATTTTAGATTTTATTTACAAAACTACTGTAACACTCTTCTCTATTGTTTTCAGGGAATCTTGACAGTGTGTAATATATGTTCAGACGCCTACCATGCTCTATGCCATACACCTCGCATACCAGAAAGACTAAAAGCATGGGATCAATGGGAATGTAACAACTGCTTAGAATCTCATCCAAACATTGTTGGTTCCCCTGCAATCATACTTTCCAATGTTGATTACAATTCAGAATCATCCACGGTGGATCCATTTTTAAAACCACATGAGTTAGATAGGGCACCTACAAAATTAGCAGAAGATGTACCATTCAACCCAAGTATACCCGATGTGAGTAATTGGACAACAGAGGATGTATACAGCTACTTCTTGGAACATTTGCCGGAAGCAGCACCTATATTAAAAGATCAGGTAATTAAAAAAAAGTACTGTAAGCTTCCACTTCAAAAACTTCTGTACAATAACATTATCTTGGGTTTTTTTATAAAGATGAGAGAGAGACAAGAATATATATTGGTAGACAGTGTACATAAGTTAGAATCATATAATTAGGTATACTTATTTAGTCTTTTTTTTCAGGAGTTTGATGGCCAAGCCATATGCACAGCAAGAAGAGCTGATATTGTAAGGGGTTTAGGACTTCCCCTCGGCCCTGCACTCGCATTATATAGAATTGTAGTAAAACTACAAACAAGGAAAGATGATTGGACCATGTGCTGGGGTTAAATATATCTAAAACCCGCCTCAATATTATTAGTTGCAGTAATTATATACTTTACTAGATTAAACATGCTTTTTAATTGTACTCTTAGCCCTATTATTAATGGTGAATTTCAACCTGTTTAAATATTCTATGAAAGTACAAAAAAAATCAACTTTGGAACTAAAATTATAATTTCAAATAAGTTAAATTTAACACTACTCTGATTAGGAAATATGTTAAATACATAACATTTATTTACACTTTTTTTTGATCATAATGCTTCATAAAGGATAAAAATACATTAAACAGCATTGTCGCCATATTTATATAGAAAACTCTATAGTGTGTTGGTAAATAATAAAAGTTCAAGAATTGTACTGGAGGCCAGAATAAACAGTCGCCCTGAAAGAACAAATTTAATATTATTTCATAAAATATAAAGTACATACATTTCAGACTGAAATAAAAAGAAACAATTTTGGACACATTAATATGCTTACAAAATTAAACATACTCACCATATAAACATAAATAAATTTTTGTTTTACTTCAAGTGTACACTGATCGAATGTTTTCTTTTCTAGAAAACCCATTCCATAAAAGAAGCATAAAAGTGTCGCCGGAGAAGCAAATAATTGATCACATGCTATTTTCTTTACAACTGTCTTAACATTAGCATACGGCAACATCTTATCTAAATATGTGTAATAATAGTGATGCAATGGTCCCATTACTGTTCCAACAATGAACATTCTTACTGAAAATTATAATTGTAATAAGTGTGGAAACACTTCAATTGCAAATACAATAATTACATTTAAAGTTATAACATGGTCTGCACAATTTTATCTTTCATGAGTATTGGTTCTATCTGTTATACTACACAAAGCAAAGATTATTACCTGTCCTTGGCCAGTCATATCGTTTTGGAAGAAGTTTTGATTGGTATTCAATTTCTTGTTGAATAATATCTCCAATACCCATAAACGCCCCAGAAGTAATACTATTTGTTAATAGTAAATTCTTTTTGAATAATATTTTTATTCCTCGATGAAAAATAGACTTCATACTGAATAAAAACAAGTTAAGTCTAGGTCGATAAACATGAATAATTTTTTATAGGATTGCTTCTCTGAATAAAGGTCAAAATAAAATTAAATAAAGTAGTAAACAAAAGTTTTAACCTCTCAATATTTTGTTACTCCCTGCACAATTTTAATAAGATTTAAATGGAATAATTTAATCGTAAACGAACCGACGTTCATACGTTTTATTCCGTGAGATTTTTTAAACACTTACATTATTCAATAACTTTATAAATTACAATTTTATGCAATATTTTTAAAAATTGCGCTTATAATAACCACTGTCTCATTTTGTTCTCCCACAGATTATATAAGCTAAAAGCTTTACAGTTTGACACTGACAGAATAATTTTAAAAACTCCAAACAACTGTAATGAAAATTATTTATTTTATTTAAAAATATTATTGTACTTTATTAAAAACTTTCATGTTTGATACAAAAAACCTGTCTGCTTTGCAAATCTGCACAGTTGAAATAGGCGAGGAATCGATATTTTGATATTGAAAGCGATGGAATAACTTCATTATAAAATAAAACATCACTAATTGACAGGGAAAAGAACAGGGACAGGGAACATCAGTTCAGTTGCCAATTTTCCAAAACAAATGAAGATGATTTATTACTGAAATTGAAAATGGCACAACATAGTGAAAACTTAGATTTTTCCGCTTTATTTAAGCTAGATGTTTTAGTTCACCTAGATATCGTCAATCATAGTTTTTACGAAGTCGGCCTAAAGAAATTTTTGGCATTTTCAAGTGATAAAGAACTCGTTTTCTTGTATATTAATCCTCAGCTGGAAAGGTTTGATAATGTTTACGATTGGGATTTTAATGATAATCCTGTATATTGTATGTGTTTTGAACCGAGCGGTACTTGGCTACTTATAGTGAGTGAGCAAAAGGTGCTACTTGTACCTTTTCTTCCATTATTTACACCAGAAAACTTATATGACTGCAAGTGGTCATCTTCAAGAGTTACTGTTTTACCGCTTGGTGATATACCAGAGCCAACATCTGTAGTCTGGTGGTTGACAAAGGAATCGGAAAATATAATTATTATTGGATCAAAGGTAATTATTCTACAATTATTTACTATGCTATGCCATTCAGAAAGGGTTACGCAATTTGTGAATTTCCTGCCATTGTTACAGACAGGAGTAGTAACATTTTATTCCTTGGAGTCCCAGACTATTGTAGGTGAAGTTAAAGTTGCTGGAGAAATTTTGGAATTACAAATATGTTTTGATGATTCCTTGGACTTATTAGCTCTGTTGGTATGTATGTTTTGTACTCATTAACAACAACTGAAATTAATGATCAACAGATCATCTGCACACATGTGAAGCAGAGCAGTAAACTAGCTTGTAGCTCATCTCAATTTGTAACAGTATAGAGTTATGCATTGCATTTTAATCAGCGAGTTGACAGAAAGGTTGTGGCTTGTTGTCTGAGTGTATTTTTAAAGTGGTTCACAGCCGATTTTTACATAGACACAACTGTTAATATTTTGTAAATTAATTACATTTGTATGTCTATTATAATCGTTAATGGCTACTTTTTTATTATATTTTTTAATTCAGATCTCAAGCGGACAATCTCAGCAGTGGAAGTTGATTTTGGAACACAGATCTTTGGGCTACAACTGGCTTCAACAAACTCGAGCTCAAAATGATAGAGAAAAAAAAGATGGATTTATGTCTTACATCAGACAACTGTCAAAGGATAAAATAACATTTTTCACTCAAGGTGGATCTAGAGGTATAATAAAATAACTGAAGGAAATGATATAGTAATGCTGGGAAAAAGTTTTTAATGGAATGTTAATTTTTTGCAGATGATAAATCTCAGACTGTGGAATATGTATTGAAACCAGTTGAATATCTGCCGATGTTCCGAAAGGGCTCTAATAATTGGGCTTTAACAGCACAATATGTGAATGGACGTCATTTCTTAACTGCATTTGAATTGAATGAAGGGACATTGATTGTAAGCAGTGCATGTATTTGTTTTTGAACTAATATAAAATGGAGCGTCCACCAAAGCGATCTATGGAGCGTCCACCGAAGCGATCTAACAGCTTGGTGGCCTCCCAATCCGGTAATAGTAATGAAGAAATGGCTCGTGCCGAGGCTCCTGAGGGTGCCCTCGAGCTTAGTTACTCATAAACGAGGTTTAGGCTAAGCGCCATCTGCGCTCAGCCACCTCAAGTCCGGTGAATCTGTAAATGCCTCTTCAAGGCAAACAATGGCCATTCAGTCACAAAAAAAAGAAAAAAAATACTAGTGTCAATTCTAAAAATCTTTTACCATCAGAAACCTACATTATTCCTAAGTAACACTATTTAAAAAGTACACACACTAAAACACACTAGTACACTATTTAAAATATATATGTCCAACTGTATGATACGGAGACTAGGTTAGGGTTACTACAAATATGAAAATAATGAAGTTTATTAAAAAAATATAGGTACATAAATTGTTTTTTTTTTCAGCTCGAAAGTCCAGAAGATGATACTCCATCAAGGACATTAAGACCTCACATAAAGAAGGATGGCCTATATATTCAAGGCTTGTGGTCACAGAGACTTATTTATTTACTGAGGAAGAATGAACTTGAAGTGCACAGTGCTAATTTCTCTGTAGTTCAGGTAATTGATGGCATTAATAGTTACTAGCTTTCATGAATCAATCAGTATAGAATTAAAAGAACAAAAGTAAGTAGCCTATGTGTTCTTCCAGACTATCCTCTACATATATGCCAAATTTAATTGAGAATAGTTCAGCAGTTTAGGCTCAAACTTTTGCATAAAGTCTACAATGTTTCTAGTTTTAAAATTATAAACTTGTTTATAGTGCTCCTGTAGCTACATCAGCATAAAAAATATATTAGTTGATAAATGATAATTGAAAATGACATTGGATACTATAGCCCCCTAATGCTACTTCATACTAATATTATAAATGCGAAAGTTTAGATGGATGGATGGATGTTTGTTAGAGTTTGTAGCCTAAGCCGCTGAATGGATTTTGATGAAATTTGGTATAGATGTGGAGGATAGTCTGGAAGAACATAAGGTAGTTGTAACATGAAACGCTAGGGCGACGGCCTGCTAGGCGCTAAGAGGGAGTTCAGCGAGCTGTGGTCGGTGGAGCTGATAGGCGACGTGCAGCGCGCCTACCTGATGCGGGCTCGCGCGCCGCCCGCGCCCTCGCCCGGCTGGCGCGAGCCCACCTTCCTCTGCGACCTGCAGCTGCCCCGCTTCCCCGTCGAGCCCTGTCTGGTCGTCACCAGCTGTGGCGCCTACATACTCAATACTGTGTGAGTACCTTTGATTTAACTTGTATTGCTATTTCTTTCTATTTTACATTTACTTTACTATTACTTTCTATTTTACAAACATACGATTGTTTGTGATTTAAAAGTAAATTTTATGATTTTGACTGATGCATATGTATTAAAAAAAAAAAACTAAATCTAAAGAAAGACAAATAATATTTATTATAAATATGGAATTCCAACTACAAAACATATTTACGTTTTTTTGTAATCCGTTGTTTTATAGCGATTTTAGCAGATCCAGGTTTTTAACTCGTACATTGTTATTTGTACCACACAGAATTTATTTCTTTCATCTAGGTAATAAGGTAATAAGAAGTCTGTGACGCCATATTTTAGCATTAAAGTCCGCAATAATATTGGTGTAGGCGCGAGCCTTCAGAGTGGCTGGTGAGCCTGATAATGCGTGGGGGCGTGGGTGCAGAGCAGTCTGCGGCGGCGCTGGGCGCGTGCGTGCCCACGTTGCTGCGTGCCGCCGCGGACCTGCTCATGTCGCGAGGCAAGGTCGCGCCTGCGCAGTACCTTTTCTCCCTCTCACAGGTATGACGTCATCGTTAAAGCCGTTCCATTAACCAATGTTACCTAGTTTATTTCAAAACTGCCCCTCTAGTTAGTAATCGTTTTAGATTTAATTTATACATGTTTTTTATAACTGTTTAACTAAATAAACAGATAAAAGACAAAATGTATTCATATATAATTTTGTAGTAGTTTTAGGCGTTTTAGGCGTTTTATGTATGTCAATCTGTGTGTACAGAGCCAGCCGGACGGCTGGGTGGCTCGGCTGGGCGTGTTCGGGCGCCTGCACGAGCTGTCCATGTACAAGGCGGGTTCGGGG